GCTATGTCCGGCGATTCTGCCGCCAAAATTTAATGGAATGTGAGTGTTACACGTGCAAAAACAAAAGGCTGGCACACACAGAACACAGTCATTTACGTTCTTTATTTCTTTCAAATAATGGAAGGGAATTCTTCTGACTTCTGCATCTCAAGATGCACACGACCCAAATTATTGCATATATAGTAAATATAAGACCACGGTAATTTACCTGCATGATATAATCACATATATGAATATATCCCTTTTCATGACCTGTTGCAATCCTGCGTGATGAGGAAAGAAATCAATAAGGATATTCATGTCCAATTAATGCATTCACGTCAAGAAAGATGTTTGAATATTACAGGGATCCTCTATTTCTAAGTTGACAAAACCCTTTAGTAACTTGCGAATCTTGACATTTTCTTCTTTATTATTGCAAAAACTAGATGTCCACATAATTTTGAAATTATGTTCAACTTCAGTTTTACAAATATGCAACTTGGTAGTTGCACATTTCTACAACTACAAAATTACAAATAAATTTTCTTGCAACTTCGGTTTCATAATGTGCAATTCAGTTGACTTACAAATAATTTTTTCTTAGATAACTGATGGCAAATTTTTTTAATATCGTAATACTCATATGTTATATATCCTAGGTACGCACCATGACTCTGTATGATTTACGTCTAGCGAAATCATGCGCGCCTTAGGGATCTCCCTAGACATGATCTGATCCAACACAAATTCTGGTGAACATTCCAGAAACCAAATCAAAGTTAGAGGATCCGTTGAAGTGAGAAGAGAAGTCCATACCTGTGTTAAAGTTGGGATTGCTTGCTGCATCCATGGTAAATGCGTGAGAGTAAAGAAAAACAAATGGAAGCAATCAGTGGATAACAAGTTTTCTTTGAAGAAAGATTATGTCAAAAAAATATGAATTCAAATATGATTGCTACCTTACTCATGAGACCATGAAAGAAAAACGGAAACGAATGGAAGCAATCAGTTGATATATTTATCTTCCACTGGTTCCATCCATTTATTTCCAGTATTCAAATCTTTTTTTCCACAACCTAAAGACTTGTTTCATCTGCTGATTCATGTGCTCTGTTGTTCCGTTTACTCGTTGCATTGTCACTTTAGTTTTTTTTTATTTCATTCAAATAACATTCTGTTACATAACATTCCTGCTGCAATGCACATGGTGCCATCAGTCTTTGTTAATTACACAGTCCAAAAACAGCAGATCTTTAGAAACAACAACTCAGCTTTTAATTATCTGGTTGTAGTAAAAACACACAAAAATTTCCATTTTCTTAGACTGGTTATTAAGTAGACAAATGTTTACAAGTTAGATTTCATTGCAAGTGAGCTTACCACAGTGGTTGAGTTACTTGCTGACTGTGGGTTACTGGATGACTTCGCTGCGGACAAATTCACTGTCTCATTGATTTTGCTCAATTCTGGCAAAGGCATCCTTGACAAATGCTCCACAGATTTCGCATTGGCCACCACCTTATTGTCTGCCTCTTTGTCTATCATATCGTTAGTGATACCCTGGTCCTGGTATATGGGATCGTTACTTACAATATTGTTCAGAACATGAAGCCTTTCTCTGCACTGCATGTCCAACTGCAGCTCGTTATCAGCCACCATCTGTCTCATACATTATATATACTGACACTAAAGTACATCTGGTTACAAATTTCAACGAATAAACTGAAGACTCACATAATTAATTTTCTCTGCTGATTTAATGTTTCATAGACCTTGGACTTCATTTTCATACAAGCAAAAAGCTAAGAAGCATAAACAGTTTGATTTACATATCATAGGACTGTTGTAGTGTATTCTGGGGTTATGTAATACCATTTATAAATTACAAGTAAAAAGGCTAAGAAGCCTAAACAGTGTGATTCACAGAATTAAGTTTCTTTGATGATTTGAGATTTTATGATGCTAAAATCAGCACCATAAAATATGGAGTTATGTAATACTCCCTCTGATCCAAAATAAGTGTCGTAGTTTTGAACTAAGGTTAGTTCAACTTTAGTACAAAATTGCGTCACTTATTATGGATCGGAGGGAGTACCATTTAGGCATATTATGTTCCTTCAAAAGCTTTTTAAAAAGTTATGACATGGTATATTGATGATATTTGAGCATGTGACCATACCTTGTCTACTCCATTAAGCATTTCGAGTATGTCCTTTGCAGTAGGTCTTTTCTCCATGCTAGGGTCCACACATTCTAGGGCTATACCAATACAATTTCTTACTTGTCGGATAGATCTTTCTGTTGATTTATAGTTTTGTCTGGATATGAATTGGTTCCTCCAGCCTAGGAGCACCTGCGCATTTGCAATAATGAGCTTAATTATAAGGATGGTCTATACGCAAAGATTAGATTAATCCAACTTACTTTTTCTGTGAACTGCTGGAGTGATGCTGCAGTACTGTGGGGATCATCTTGCTGGAAATATGGATAGTCCCTATGCCCTGTAATTATCTCTATAATTATTACACCCAGACTGAAGATATCTGCCTTGTTTGAGACTACACCTCGGATTAAGTACTCTGGCGCCATATATCCACTGCAATATAATATAAAGTAAGAAGTGCAAACATAATCACAGACGTGAAGTAGATGAGGAAAAGAAAAACACTATAGGTGCAAGACCCATAGCTAACCAAGTTCCAGCACGATTATCAGTGACAAGTCGTGATTGTTGCTCTCCAAAGATCCTTGATATACCAAAATCCGCGATTTTGGGTGTCATAGTAGAGTCCAGCAATATATTTTCTGGCTTTAGGTCCAGATGAACGATATGGCATTCATCATGAAGGAAATGCATACCACTGCAAACCCCCTTGATTATCTCGTATCTCGTATTCCACTCAATGCCCAAAGATTCATCTGTAGATATCGACAAAGAAAAGAAAAGAATTTTAAACTCATTCAGCGATCACACTGTGGTACTGTAATGAGCATGCATTGGTGGGAGGCATGTGGCATGCGTCAACATCACCTATGTTTACGTACTCTCCAATTTATAATTTGAGTGCTTTCTTCCTTCCAATAAAAAAGATGTCTATATAGTTTTCTGTAAAAAGGGAAGCCTAGTTTCTTCAAGCTGTTCGCCTTGCTAATTAAACGTCTGTTCATGCACGCGCTCGTGTGTTTGTGCATGGGTGTGCACGCCGTAACAGTAACAACTTTGTGTGTGGTACCAAATGATATATTGTTTCTATTATGTCAATGACCTGCAACTTCTTAGTCCAGAAGCTAACACATTTTTTCCAAAGCATAGCGGACACAATATACTTTTGAGCTGTGCTCGAACAAAGTAAAATTCATAACGAAAAATGGAAAGAAGTGTTTCATAACGATACCAGAAATATGTTTGTCGAGGCTTTTGTTGGATGCATACTCGAAGCAGAGCAACCTGTTTGGCATTTCGGCAAAAATATGCTTCCCACTCCCACTTGGTTGCTCTATCGCTTCCCATTTTGATTCGGCACAGTAACCTACAAAAAGTAGAACGTTTTGGTGCTTGATCCCCATAAGAGAGCTGACCTCATTCTGAAAGGTCTCCTCTTTTAGACGTATTTCAAAAAGCTTCTTCACAGCGATGATTTTCCCACTCTGAAGAACTCCCTGTGTTGTAAGTTAAACATCTCTTCATAGCATGCACATGTCTCTTTGAACAAGTATTGTTGGTAACATTTGATAAGTGGAGTAAAAGACGTCGATCGTACCTTGTAAACTACTCCAAACCCACCTTCACCAAGTACTGACTCATTGGAAAAATCACATGTGATGTCTTTCAAAAAATCTAGTGGAAGAGACATTGGTGGAGCATTTGGATCCTGTAGCCTCTTCTCCAATTCACCATGTGCACTTGCCATTTCTGTTTAAACAACTATATGAGACGGCATCTACGTAAAAGAGTATCCGTGGTTGTGTCCCCTTTGTACATATATGTGGACGGTCTACACTGTATAACCTAGGGAACTTCAAGGTAGGGTGGAGGGAAGAAAACAGGAGCACTACCTGCAGTCACTGCAGCCGAAGGAGATGCACTAAAAATATGCAAAAAGAATCAGTTTGTCAAACTAAAATGTCAATAGTTTAGTGCAGGGTTCAAATCGAAGGGCTGAGAACAAAAAAGAGAAAGAATTAACGAACTAGAACCAAAATGAATTGAAGCTTATAGCACAAATCTACAGATGGACACGACTGTTAAATTAGAACTTCTGATGAGGGAAGGCATGCATTAGAACTTTCGATCAATTAATCCATGCTACCAATCCAGGTCTGAAGTAATTCCCTTTTTTGTTTGTTCTTGCATCACACACCACTGTTCGTGGACTCAGGGGAGCCGAACCATGTGGGAAACAAAAACACCTTCTCATTCGAGATGGCCTGGTTCGAACGTGAGGGGTTCTTAGACCTCATTGCCAGGGAGTGGGCTAAGGGTGTAGGAGGTAGGACGGCGGTCGAGCGTTGGCAGAATAAAATTAGGCATTTGAGAAGTTTCTTACGGGGTTGGGCTAAGCACCTCAGTGGGGTGTATAAGATTAAGAAGGATAGGCTCCTTTCTCTTATACAGGCCTTGGACATAAAAGCCGAATCCGCGATTTTGCTGCCTGCTGAGCTCCAGGTTAAAGCTGAGGCGGAGAAGAGGTTGAAAGAACTTTTCCGCGAAGAAGAGTTGAAGTGGGCTTTGCGAGCTAAGGTCCACAAAGTGGTCCAAGGGGATGCCAATACTCAATTCTTTCACCTGATTGCCAATGGTAAGCACAGAAAGAAGCGAATCTTTCAACTTGAACAAGATGAGGGTACTATTTTAGGACAGGATAATCTCAAAACATATATTACCGAGTATTATAGGCAGTTATTTGGACCTCCGGAGGATAATTGTGTGTCCCTCAATGAGTCCAGGACTGAGGATGTGCCTCAATTGTCTGCTGCCGATAATGATATCCTGGTTGCCCCGTTCTCAGAGAAGGAGGTGTTTGATGTTATTGCACAAACGAAAAACAATAAGGCTCCCGGACCAGATGGGTTCCCGGCCGAGTTCTATAAAAAGTGCTGGCACATTATTAAGGGGGATTTGCTACCTATATTCCATGATCTATTCTCTGGACAGCTTCAATTATTTCACTTGAATTTTGGAACTATCACATTGCTCCCTAAGAAAATGGAGGTTGTGAGAATTGAGCAGTTCAGGCCGATCTGCCTCCTCAATGTTAGTTTCAAAATCTTCACCAAGGTCGGGACTAATAGGCTCACACAGATTGCGCATTCTGTGGTGCAACAATCTCAATCTGCTTTCATGCCGGACAGAAACATCCTTGAAGGGGTGGTTGTCCTTCATGAAACGCTCCATGAAATTCACTCCAGAAAATTAGATGGGGTAATTTTTAAGGTGGATTTCGAAAAAGCGTACGATAAGGTCAAGTGGCCATTCCTCCAACAGGCATTGCGTATGAAAGGTTTTGATGACGCCTGGCGCCGGCAGGTCGAATCATTTACGCAAAAAAGGAGTGTGGGAATTAAAGTGAATGACGATATAGGTCATTATTTCCAGACTCATAAAGGCCTCAGACAAGGAGATCCGATGTCCCCTATCCTATTTAACATTGTGGTGGATATGTTAGCAATTTTGATAGGAAGGGCTAAGGAGAATGGTCAAGTGGGTGGCTTGGTACCTCATCTTGTTGATGGAGGTGTATCCATCCTTCAATACGCTGATGATACAATCATCTTCATGGAGCATGACTTGGCCAAGGCAAGAAATATGAAGCTGTTGTTATGCCTCTTTGAATAATTGACCGTGTTAAATATTTACTTTCATAAGAGTGAGTTGTTCTGCTTTGGTAGAGCCAAAGACGAACAGGAGTCTTATAGGCAATTGTTTGGGTGCGAGTTGGGGAATTTACCCTTCTCCTACCTTGGTATTCCGATACACCATCATAGGCTGACAAACAGAGAATGAAAGTGTATCAAGGACCGATTTGAGAAGAAACTGAGTTGCTGAAAGGGTAAGCTCATGTCATACGGAGGCCGGTTAATCTTGATAAATTCAGTGCTCACGAGTATGCCTATGTTCCTCTTATCGTTCTTTGAGGTCCTAGTTGGTGTTAGGAAAAGATTGGACTTCTATCAATCATGTTTCTTTTGGCAGGGTGATGAACTTAAAAGAAAATACTGGCTTGCTAAATGGGATATTATCTGTCGACCGAAAGACCAAGGGGGTCTTGGTATTGAGAATCTTGAAGTTAAGAACAGATACCTTCTTAGTAAGTGGTTGTGGAAGCTCTCTTCCGGGACTGAGGCCATGTGGGCGCAGATCCTTCGCAGCAAGTACCTCCGGACTAGAACACTGTCCCAGGTAACAGTCAGGCCGACTGACTCGCCTTTCTGGAAAGGACTAATGAAAATCAAACAATCAATGTTCAATAGGACAAGATTTGTTATTGGAAACGGTGCTACTACACGTTTCTGGGAGGATACTTGGCTTGGCGACCCACCCTTGGCCATTCAATATCCGTCTTTATATCATATTGCTCAACGACGTGAGGTGTTCGTTGCAACGGTATTTCAATCTATCCCCCTTAATATTCAGTTTATACGGTCGCTAGCGGGCAATCGTTGGGAAGTTTGGCTCCATTTAGTTAGGAGACTGATGGAGGTTTAACTTTCTGACCAACCTGATGAATTACGCTGGAAGTTGACTAGGTCTGGAGTATTTATAGTTAAATCAATGTATTTTGATGTTATTAATTCGAACTCCATTCCAACTTCCAAGAATGTCTAGGATGTCAAAGTTCCTTTGAAATTAAAAGTGTTTATGTGGTTTGTCCATAAACAAGTTATTTTAACAAAGGACAACTTGATAAAGCGTAATTGGACAGGACCTACTAGGTGTAGTTTCTGTGATCAGGATGAGATGATTAAGCACCTATTTTTTGATTGCCCGTTGGCCAAAGTCCTTTGGCGGACAGTCCATATTGCTTTTAATATTACTCCACCGACTACTGTTAACGCATTATTTGGGACTTGGCTTAATGGGATTGAGTCTGCCTTAGCAAGACATATTCGGGTTGGAGTTTGAGCTTTGCTGTGGACCATCTGGATTTGCAGAAATGATTTGGTTTTTAACAGAACATCACGGATTCATTTTTTGCAGGTTATTTTCCGAGCTACAGCGGTGATCCGTTCGTGGTCGCTACTCACTCCGATGGAGGCCAGGGAGCATTTGGTTACTGGATCTATCCGTTGGAAGATGGTAGCTCGGGATATCTTCAACCGATTTGGATGGCGGTCATGTAATAGGATAGACAATTAGTTTACCTATCTTTTTTAGCCAGCCGGTTGTGGCGTCTTTTCCTGACTAGTTTGTGTATCTAGCCTTTTACGCTCTGTGTGAGCTGCTTTTTCTTTTTTTCAGTTTGAGACTTTGGAACCTTGTTGACACTTTTTTTTTGGTTAATAAGATGGCCATATGCATCACTCTTGATGCAGAGGCCGGGGAGCCCCCCATTTCGAAAAAAAGGACATGGTAAATTCTGAAACAATTAATGACTGTGTCGTATTTCACATACATTACGTGGCATGGTGCTCTAGAATTAAAGATGCATGCGCGACTCTCACTTTCCTTAGAGCAAGTATAATAAGATGATGTAAGCAAGCTATAAGGATTTAAATAATATATTTTTTGCTGAGTTCAAGGAGAGAGAAGAGAAGCGGATTGTAGATTAAGAGCCAGCTGCATTACAGGCTGCAAGAAACTTTCCGAGAATGCAAGGTGGCCCAACAATATATTTTTATAGCTAATTATTATACTGCCTCTGTCCCAAATTTCTTGTCTTAGAATTGTCTAGATACGGATGTATCTAATACTAAAATGTGACTTGATACATTCGTATCTAGACAAATCTAAGACATGAATTTTGGGACGGAGGGAGTGCATGTTAGCTATAAGATTGACTATAGATGACACGACAACAAGATATAGCCAGCGATGAGCTCTGCTATTATCCTAATCTCCTCGAGTAGTTTAAACCCAAGTGCATCCACTAGCAAGCCAGAGAGCGAGCATCCAAACAAGGACATGCAAGTTGCATCTACATATAGATTACTTCTGTAGCGTTAATTGTTGATTAATTATGATGGCTTAAAGTCCATTCGGTGCAGATTTCTAGAATCTGGGTCTAGGCGCACCCGATTAGGTAAAAGAAATTAAAACATAGTAAAAAAATGTGAAATTTTCAGAACAAGCATTGTCTAGTATATTACTCACGTTAAAGTTACGGGATAAATGACTTCTGTGGCATTGTTGGTAAAGGAACAAAACTGCAAGTACTAATTATGTGAATAGTAAGCGCTTAATATAGTATAAGTTTTGTTTTTATTCGTTCAGAATACCACGGAAGTTAACAAACCATCCCATTATCAGCTCTTGGTTTATCGTTCCACCAAGAGCTGAGTATACTCTGTTTCTTTTAGCTTTTCTTCTGCACTGGATGCTGGATAATTTGTTCCCTTCTCATCATGATAGTTGAACCTTATCCATTTTGAATAGTTTGGAAAGGAAAAAGAAGAAGAGAAGAAGCACTAACCTGGAGGATAAGCCAGGATGCAGCGCTTACTGAAAAGCGGGTACTGGAAACAGAGGAACTGAAGGATACGCATCCAGGTCGATGAGAGGATCGATCAAGAAAATCAGAGTCGTGATATGATCCAAAAGAAGGTACGAGAACTACTAAAATAAGGTTCATGGGTCCATGTGAAAGCATCTATCCCACTGAGAGTTGAAGCACTAACCTGGAAGATGTGTAGGAAATTTCTCAGAAAATTAGCATCTAAGTGGGCACGCCAGAGGGGCAAGAAGACGCTGGGT